CACGACGCAAATAACATGATTTGCATTTATTATTGCTTATTCGATGCATAGCGATCATTTGCGTATACTTGTAAATAGATAAGACGAGTTGGTGATTATGCACTTTCGTTATAATCGACGTAATTTTCTTACCCAACATTATTGGACTTTGAGAAGAGGTGAAAAATTCTTCGGTAAAATCAAACGTAATTAAGTAACCGACCATCAAGTGCTAAATGAATTGTAAACGGCTCCCTTCAACTCGTATTAAAATCACGATTATACGTACATATGGTTGACTTTGTCGGTATTTCTTTATTCGTTCAAATATTATGGTAATATTTTATCGTAGTCCTTAGATCATTGACTGACTCAATTATTTGTAATAATTCTTTATCTTCCGATACTTTCGTTTTAATTTGAAAGACGAACATTTTCTTCATCATAAAGAAGCATGTTCGGTGTAACGAAATGACTAATTAATATTTACAATTAGTTGTTTGTCAATGCCAAAACTACATCGCGACGTTTTTCTTCATTATCGAACGATCCACTACTTAGCATTGGGTGAAAATTCCTTATAATTCCAAAGTGTGCGTGCGTGCGTGCGTGCGTGCGTGCGTTTGTGTCCAGTAGGCCCTCCCGTAACGGCTAGAATTAAAAATTTCAAACGAGAGACAGCTTAAAACGAGGGACGTAGTAAAGAAGGTAAAATCGACTGCCGAATAGGTAAATTTAATTTCCGCTTGAACCGTGGCCAAAGTCTCCGTAACGACTAAGTCGACTAATAATCAAAGTTCAGCTGAAAATACGAATTTCCATGGCCGCGATGACTCCTCTATGCCAATTCCTCGCCCAACGCTAAATCGGCGTCGCGTCACATATTTGAAACGACGGTAGTACCGCGATTCCAGCCAAGGTCATTTCCTCGCTATTTTTCCACATTGGCCTTAAGTTCGCGTCGTGTCAAGATTCCGTCGCTACTACTTATCGCGTCCTCCGAAATGTCAAATTCGCATACTGATTTCTTTTTGAAACGAAGCGCCACGTCACTTTCGAGTTCGACTTTTAAAATAGATCGCATGTGCCTTGACTTTGGTCCAGGTTACCATTCTATCGACATGACGATGTGTGTATGTGCCATTGAAGCCGCATCAATGATTAATCCCTTATTGTTGGTATAATACATTTGTAAAAAGACTGTCGAAGCGACATTTTATTGTCCTCTTTTAATACCATTAAAACGCCGACTGTAGCCTGATATCGCGGCTTATGCTGAATGAACGCGGATTTTTCACTCTATTCGGGCATATTGAGGTCCAACCTATTGTAAAACAACGTGCGATCGTGTGTACCCGAGTTTGATTAAATACGAAGCGAATGCGGCGACGATTAGACTGTACGTTTACACAATTGTAGTATAGTGATAATTAAATTAATCGGGCGTTGCAAGTGATTTTGTGCTTTTTCTTGTTTTTGAAATAATAGCACGGGACTGAAGCTTCCCTTTTACATCCACGTACTCAGATAGCAAAAGATTAGCGCGAAATCGACAAACGGCAACAAGAGAAAGATATTCTTTTTTGTCAAACGCTCGTTGCTGCTAAATATTAATAAAAGGAAAAAAAAAGTTTATTACCGCTGCGTGGCCGTTATAAAATTCGATTTATACACGAACTGCCGCTACCGGCGATATATCCGCGAAACGTTTTTGTTACTTTTCGACTAAGCGACGTATGGCTGCTGTAAGTTAATTCGAAATTGTAAAACTAAAAATTTTTGTATTGCTCCAAATCGGAGAAAGACAAAGGTGGACGACGATTCGTTTCTTTTCACCCAATGAATAAGAAGTAAAATACAATACATAATTGCAATATGTCGAATGGATGCGGAGATTAAGCGCGAGAAGGGAAAGAAGATTGAAAATCATTCATTGTATCGTTGTAATCACTAGAAATCACAATGCAATTGGTTTGGGGCAGAAAGGAGGACGGCGGTTGTGGATTTTTAGATTTTCTGACCAGCAATATATTATACTGTCGGTAATATTATCCGCAATGGTATCTAAAAATAACTACTCCATTAAAATCATAATATTTAGCATTCGGGAACTCTTTTTTCTCTTCTTGTCCATTATAATTACCCGATGATGTACCCGAATAATATTGATTAAAAATTATATTAAAAAAAAAAAAAAAAAAAAAAAAAAAAAAAAAAAATGATGGATGTTTTTTATTATTACGATTATTATTTTTATTTTATTATATTTTTTTTCATTATTGTAATCATGAATAATGCATCGAGTGTTAATTATATTTTTCACCAAGTTGCTCGACTTAAGCGCCACCGTAATGTTTTCTTTTATTTTTCAATACTGGATGAACGCCGCTCTTATCTACTGCCTAATGGATATTAATTTGAATATTAACTTAATGGCTGAAGTTGAAATTTTTATTATTTTTTTATAAATGGAAATAATAAATGGACTTGTTATTGCACAATTGAGCGTTTGTGTCTCAGTGTCGCACAAGCGCACAATGTCAAGCTTATTTCGAACGTGAGAAGAATGACGTTTATTAAATGACGTTTATTATTTATACACGGCAAATATTAAAAAAAATATCAACATGTTGTAGGAGGAAAGGAGGGAAATGACAGTAGAATTAGTTTTGCGAGAATGAAGCAACTGTTGTGCCTCGCTATTGCCAAAGAAATCTAAGTACCAAATGCTGCAAATAGGGTAATTTATATTCCCTAGCAATCCAGGGGTAAATGTTAAGTTGTAAAACGGTAAAGCAGAGCTCTGTTTATTTGTCTTCTGTTTTTTTAGATAATCGCATTCCCGTAGCGTGCCACTTCTACTTAACGAAATTGCGTCAAAACTCCCGGAAGGGCGATAAAGTTTCTGCTATTAATGTTTGCAAAGGGTATCGATTGCCGGCGATTACTCGTCGAAATATGCAAACGAGTCGCGAGAGTGGCACGCGTCCTCGCGGAAATACTATCCAACACTAACGTATTATCCTTCGATCTGTTTGCAGTAAAATTCCACATCGCGCACCTGCACGAGGTACAGGGCAAGTACCGGCTGGCCAAGGAGCACTACGAGGCTCTGCTCAAGGAGAAGGCCCTGCCAGCCCATCTCAAGGCCGACATCTGCCGACAGCTGGGTAAGTCCGCAGCTCCTTCGTATCAATTTATTACGGGTGTTGTGTCTGTGCGCGACGAAACCAGTGGATGCCGGGCCGGGATGCGGGGAGGGAATCTCCGAGAGTAGCGTGAGAAAATGGCACGATCGATGCGGGAGCCGGGGTTAGAAGGTACGCTTGCTTAACGTTTTCCATGGTCGGTGGGGTGGCGGGAACGGCGATGGCGACGGGGAGCGGGGCGGGAAAGGGGTGGGTGGGGGGGGGCGGAGCAGAGGTATCGGGGGATGAGGGGATTGGCTTTTATTAGGGGAGCTACTGTTTTAAGCCGGCGTGGAAAATGTAGCCATATCACACCTATTTGGGAATGCGAAATTTTATCGAACAGCAAAATTGATCTGATCGACGTATTGGAAAGTACTTGCTTAGTTGGTTCAGTGATAAAAACCTATCCTAATGCAAACTTACGAACATTGACAAGTTTTGTAAGATGCTGGATGCAAATAATCAAATTATTAGCGATTCATATATATATATATATATATATATATATATATATATATATATATATATATATATATATCTAAAAAGCAAAAAGGCATTCTTCTAATAATGGTACTAGCCGAGCTAGGTATACGCGTGTGTGCGTAAGCGTGCATGCGAATACGTTATTCGTTACGGTTAACTCACTCCACATACTTCGATTCTATATTTTTATTCTTGCCTTTTCCCTTCACGTATGAATTTTTCATGACAAATATTTCCTCTATTGCAGCTAGCGAGGAGCATTTTCCTCTCGCATTATTTTGCTTACTCAATTTTTTATATATTGTGCGTCTATCTCGGATAAATTCTGAAAATATAAAAGTTTCCAAAGCTTTTTCTTTTCTTTTCTTTTCTTTTTCTTTTTTTTTCTTTTCTTTTTTTTTTTTTTTTTTTTTTTTTTTTTTTTTTTTTTTTTTTTTTTTTTTTTTTTTTTTTTTTTTTTTATTATTATTATTTACCATTAAAAATGGAGTCGGTGACTGAATAAAATAACGTACCCTCCTTACGCAGGCAACTTAAATCGCACTACTCTTCTCCATTTGGCTAACGAACATTATACGTCGTACATTAAACGTCATTAGCATTTTTTGCGTTGATTAGTATTCAAAACGGCGTACTTTCTCAGGCAGATTTGGCAGCAGAATTACTCGGCTGCCCGAACCAAATAAAATATAACAAAGGCTAAAGAAAGATTTTTCTCATTACTCCATCTTCCTTATCGACTTTCCGTCCGCGTTCCCTTTTAGCCAAATAACACATACAATAAAACGCATAGACGTATCGTAAAAATTATGAAAAATCGTATAAATACTACGAGCCTGTGATTGCCTTCGCAAATGAAAATCCAAACAAAGGCGCAGAGACCTTTAAATGGTCGGTTACGTTCGCATGCAACGAGACTATTGACGACTGGCCTCGTCTCGACTCTCCGCACATGTGTTTAGACGCGCGCTCCCGCACACCAAGGAAATATCACCCCTTATACACACGATCCTAGCTTTTGGATACAGTTTAAGGTTCGGTGGTTGCACCAAGAGTAGCAGACACGTGTATTGATTTATTCGGGGTGTCGGTGGGGGCCGGGCGGAGGGAAGCATCGGACGTGGATTGGGGGATGCGTCGGCGGGACGATGGGGTCGACGAGAATCAGGATAGAGGCGGGGGAAGGTACGGGGTTGCGTATGCGGACAAAGTGGCTATATGGACGCGACTAAAGATGTTGACTCGATTTTGCTGGGTATCGGACAGACGGTCGTGATAAGATGATGCTCGATCGAATTTCACATCGCCTAATTTCTTTCCCTTAATTGTACCCATATTTTTCATAAGCCACTTCAACGAGGCTCATCGATCATCGCACTTTAAATTGACAGCGATTTACCCCCTTTATTATATCGGTATTAATTCTATAATTATGTAATTAATCAATAGGTTCGGTAACACCGACTTAATGACAAATTACGTAATTCCTTATTCAAAATCAAGAACAATAATCGATCCACAATTCAAGGCATCAAATGTTTAGGCTCGTACTTTCCACTTAATTTTTCTCTCGATGTTTTAGTTAGTTAAATACGCATATCCTGGCCTCGTTTCTCTAAGGTCATAAAATTATTTACATAATGTTTAATTATGGCCATATCGAATGATGGGTATTAATTATATGTTGTACGAGTGTACGGATCGGTTCGCATATTTGAGGCAGACGACAATTTGTTAATATAAACTTTGGAACTGCGAATTAATAGAGGCAGGATAAAAGTTCAGTTCAATAGAGTGAAAAATAACTTGCGGTTCGAGCGATAAGCCGACACGGCAAAAGTCACAATAAAGAATCGGTCTTACACCCGGAGACTCAGCAAGGATGGTAGGCCGTCAAACTCAGAAGCTTCATAAGTCCTGTCGGAGAAAATAAAAAGCTACACATTCGTCGAGCACTCCTATTCCCCCTTACCTCGTCCACCCCCTCCTCAACTCGCTCTTTGCCACCCCCGTACACTTGTACAAACACATCAAACCCTCTCCCCAAACCCATCCACCCACCCCCGAAATTTCCCCGTCTGTCGTTCGGCATTCGAAGCGCGAGCAGATGGCTTAGGCGCACGCACACGCACATCGGCAAGCGCATCCACGGGCACACGCAAGCCCGCTCATCCGTGCCTTCTGCCGTCACTTTAAAAAGTCCCGCTAGAGCGGCATTCGAGGCTCACGACGAAACCGCGAGAGTCCTAAGAAACGTCCCTTGAATATTCACCTCGGGGTACGCAAAGACCTCCTAATCTTGTTTTTTCTTTTTCTATTTATTGAATATTGCTAAGAGCCACACTAAGAAGTATGATGATAATAAAAAAAAAAAAAAAAAAAAAAAAAAAAAAAAAAAATGGATGTAAGAATTTGTAAAAGCTTTTACGATTGCGATACGCCATCTGATGAGTTCTATTAAAGATTACAAGAGTAATGGTTAAATATATCGATTGCTTAGCAATAAATCATATATACTTTGAGCTATTAAATATTAACGTCAGCAGTGGCTCGTAAGGAGTCTGTCTTTCTTTCAACAGTGGAAGGGCCACATACATTTTATCGATTGATCAACGACTGTAATCGATCGCTTTTTCAACAATTATTTTATACCGTCTGCTTGTATGTTAAATTAATATTACGAAATTTGAATGTCAAACTCGCAAGGTTTACCGGATATTGAAGTATCATTGCTCTCTCGTCGTATTCTCAAACATAAATTTCAAACGTTTAATCTTTTAAAGGAAAATAAATTTTACGATAATGCTTTCTATTTCGCCTCTATAAATAAACGCTCTATGGTGTGTGTGTCCCCCCCCCCCCCCCCCCCCCCCCACCCCCCCCCACCGCCGCCCCCCCTCACTATATCACTATACGGGCATCCATACAAGCATAGATGCGTGCGTGCGTGCGTGCTTGAGTGTGGTGCGTGCGTGCGTGCGTGCGTGCGTGCGTGCGTGCGTGCATGCA